GTTATAATGTTTACATTGGAATTTCCACGGGTGAATTGAAACAGAGAATTTATACCCATAGGCACTTATTTACCAATCCTTAATTAAAATTGCAAACAGCCCTTTCAAAGAAATTTTGGGAATTGAAAGAAAAGGATTTGCAGAAGGGTGGGGGGTGAACGAAATGATTTTCCTTTTTCTATTTCTACACCTATATTCCACTTGGGGGGAGGCACCTCGAGGTGGTGTAATGGTTAGCAAGCTTGTCTCGCTAGGACAATTACGACTGAGTAGTGAGTTCAATCGTCACTGGGCGCCCCCTTACTTTCGGCCTTGTACCACATCCAAACTACGCTTGGAAAATCGCTATATTCCACTTTAGGTGTTTCGGTATTACCTATGGGGATTAAGTAAGATGACATATTTTTGGAGAGCCTTTTCATACGGTTCTTTATTTTTATTGAAGATTTTTTTTGTTGGACGATAATTTATTAATTCTGGTACAAACGGTGGTGGGTATTTGTTTCAGGATGGCATTGGGGTGGTTAGAATCTTTATGGTAGGGTTTAAAGGTTTTATCATTAAAGTTGAGGGTGACATCTAGGTAGTCAGCTAATTTAAGGTTAGAAGAAATTTCAATCTTAAACCCTAGTAATTTAAAGACCCTAATGATTTTTTGTGACTTCGCTGTTAGTGGACCATGACTATTGAGGATGAAGATGAGTCCGTCATCTCTATATAAACCTACTAATTCTGATTTTACGATTCTACTAAGCCTATCTAAAATATAAAAACATACTAAATCCGCAACCTGGGCTGAGTCATACGTCAAAATCGTCATTATGGCACTTAGTCCAGGTAGAATTATTACCTTTTAGCGGTGATTTTCTAGCCGTTCATATTAGTTTCATTATTCGTTATCGCCATATAGTTCTTTGCAAAGATGATACTATTAACTAAGAGATACGTGGAGATATAGGAATAGAAATCCATTATATCAAACATAATAAATGTTTCTCTATCCTTATTATTCTTATTGGTGAACCACTTGATAATGTCAGGCGAATCTTTCCAAAGATTAGCACAGGTTAAGTTCAACAAACAGTCCAACAAATTTCAAAAAAGAATTAAGTAAGGTTATAAAAGCTATTAGAAACTCCAAAGCCATTTGAGTAAGAGCCGATAAATCAAAAAATATCTATAAATGTAACCGTTCAGACTACCACAAAATCCTCGCGGATAAAATAACACACACACACAAACTAGGCCGATACAATAGTAGGATATCCGAGATCGATACAGAGAAGACCGAAATGGCCAATAAACTGAATATCGCAGATAGAGTAGCAAAGATCCATACTAGAGACGCTTATATCTTATTTAAGGACAATAAACCCAACTTTGCTAGTATTACACAGTCCAGACTAATAAACCCAACTAAAACTGAACTAGGTTTAATCTCAAAAAAATATAATTAAAAAAATAACCGATAAACTACTAATTTCAACCTGTACTAAGCAACCAATAAATACATTGAGCACACTGTGGATATTTGGTATTACTAGGATTCACCTGGATTACCTACCAACGTATCTATTACCTATATATATATATATATATATATATATATATACAATACGGCCTGACGATTGCGTCCATCATGAAGCAGCCTGTCGCTTCAGAGTGTTAACTTCAATGTTCAGTTTTATATTTATATTTACATACGCTCTATCGCTGATATTGAGCACTTTTATGCCATAAATATAGCACACCTTAAAACTATATTTTTTATATATATATATATATATATATATATATATATATATCAGGTGTAACAGCAAAATTGTCCAAATCGTGTAACAGCATAATTGTCAATCTCACAAAATGTTTAATATCTAAAAAAAAAAAAGAAAAAAACACTAAACTGAGTTTATTTTTGACAGGTTTTCAGATAAGACATTTAGCCATCTTGACACCATTTGTCGTAAAAAATCACTGAAAAAAACCTTTGAGTTATTCAGCTAGAAAGAGAACAGGTAGGTTAAAATCATTTTGTGTCAGATCCATTGTCTTCTCAAATGAGCAATGGTGAGAGGAAAATGACCATTCAGACCTTTAGTAATGACACCAGCGTTCATACTCTGACTTCCATCTTCAAAGCCCATTCAACAATAGTCAAGAGAACGGTGAATAAGTTTAAAAAAGATGGAACAGTAGAGAGGAAAACCGGTTCAGGACGTCACAACAGGAAGAGGGATCATCATTTCAACTTAGAGCTAAAGAGATCAATTAGAAAAGATCCAACACAATCCATAAAACGTTTGGCTCGTGAGAGAAGAGTTTCAGCTATGACAATCCAAAGAGCAGTGAAAAGAGATTTGAAACTGAAATTGTACGGGAAACCTAGCTATGATTAATTAATGATGAACATTTTCGTTTATGATCGATTTCATCCTGATTCTTCTGTTAAGCTTGGAGAGTAATTATACGTTCTTGATGATCAAAGTAGAGTCCGATAGTGTTATAAAAATCTCGACGAATTCCAGTAAGATATTTTTAATCATTTCTAAGATACAACGGTTTAAAGCTTAATCTAAAAAATGTTACTTCAAGTATATATATATATATATATATATATATATATATATATATATATATACAAGCGGCCTGACGATTGCGTCCATCATGAAGCAGCCTGTCGCTTCAGAGTGTTAACTTCAATGTTCACTTTTATATTTATATTTACATACGCTCTATCGCTGATATTGAGCACTTTATGCCATAAATATATCATTATTTATTTAAAATATGATTCCAACGCTACATAACAGTTTTTTTAAATAATAACAAAAATACTAAAAAGAACTTTGGATTATTTACCTAACCAGTTCTTTTCCTATTTTCTATATATTTTTACACACAGACACACACACATATATATATATATATATATATATATATATATATGTGTGTGTGTGTGTGTGTGTGTGTGTGTATTTAGGCAGCAATCCTTTTTCATGCACATTTCATTGAATACGACAGACTAGGTGCTTTTATTTAGTTTTTTTTACAATTTCTCATGCGATAAATACTTGTTGACAACACTAATATAATAGCATCATCTACATGCAAAAAAGGCTAAAAATAATGGAAGTCTTATTAATAAAAACAAACAAACCAACACTTAATATTAACTTTGAACATGGACATAATATCTTGAGCGTGTTTTGAAAAATGAAAACATTTTATAAAACATGGATACAACAAACTATTTTTTATTTAACAGTTAAAATATTTCATCCTTGAAAATCGCTAAATGTATAGCCGAAAGCGCTCGGATAAAAAAAAACAAAACATTTGGACAGTTTTTATATAATTTATCATCTGAAAAGAAAAAATTATTAGATCGCATGAGGAATTGTATAAAAAACTAAATAAAAGCACCTTGTCTGTAGTATTCAATAAAATGTACATATATACATACATACATATATATATATATATATATATATATATATATATATATATATATATATGCACTCACTCTGATTGTTGAGATCAGCTTATATAAACCATCTGAAAGGTCATCTTAACAAACAGATATAATCCAACTCTCCCAACCTGCTTCATCTTCCTGTCGACATTACCTGTGTTGTTTGCAGCAAGGTTTGCCGTACCTGTGTTGTTTGCAATAATGTTTTCAGATCATCATCTGGACTAGGGAGGCGCATGATAGTACAAAGGAGAGGTTTGGGGCATGAGGATCCAATCAACATAATCCAGGATACAGAGTTTATCTCTCATATATACCTGATACCTATGAAATCGAATTCTGATCTCAAGTGTCATCTTAGGGGTCATGGACGAAGAAACGAGACAAAAGCCACCACAAATGATGTGACCGGTGAGATATGGCAATCATCATATATATATATATATATATATATATATATATATATATATAGAGAGAGAGAGAGAGAGAGAGAGAGAGAGAGAGAGTTCAGGAAAGTTCAAAGCAGATAACATTAGAAAGATTTTAGGGTTCTCATGAAAATAAGTTGATACGGAATTTAAAAACGCACTATCCAAAAGGGCTTAATCACATATTTAACAATATAGATAGTATTAATATATAACCCCACAAATCAGAACCCACACAAGACAGACATGCTTACGGAGGTGTTGAGGCCTCACACTTATACACACACCCACACGAATATACACACTTACACACATCATACTCACTCACTCCCTAATGAGCCAAATGATAACACACACCCACAGCAATACACACGCTTAGACACATCATACTCACTCACTCCCTAAGAACCAAATAACACACACACACACACACACACACTTAACAGAGACACATCCCCTTTCCAGGAACCAATAAAACTGTCAAAATGACCAAGGGATTTCAGAGCAGCATGAATCCATTCATCTTATCTTAAGTAACAACTTAAAAGAGATTGTTTGACGAACACAAGGTCTGACCAAAATTCATGTTAAAAAAATAAAAAAAACAAATGAAAACTACAGACAAAAGTTCATTTTCTTCATCAAGACATTCATTTCTGGAGCTCACTGCTACCAACAAGCAGAAAATATTTTTTTCTTCTGATGATGGCCATGTTGGCCGAAACTAGTCGAGGAATCTAATTGAAATAATAATAATGATAACGAAAGAATATTAATATACAACCCAGTGTGACTGATGATTTTAATTTTTCAATATTTTTTATTGTTCAATATATATATATATATAGAGAGAGAGAGAGAGACAGACAGACATGTTGAGATAGACAAAGAAAGAAAGAAAGAAAGAAAGAAAGAAAGAAAGAAAAAAGAAAGAAAGAAAGAGAAGATAACGGTGTTAGGGAAAACAGTTCATAATTCCCAGGATTTTAATCTCACTTTAATATTTTATGCATTCTCTTGATCGACTTCCGGCCTCCATTAACTTGAGCGATGCACCAATGAAGGCATTAAGCCGAGTGAAGCTAGGATTAATGAACTGAATGATTTTCATTTCTTCTTTTCTCTTTCCAGCGAAGTGAAGAAGCAACTGTGTTAGGCAGGTTTAAGCAGGTGGACCTTATCAATCAGAGGACCAAGTGAATTGAGAAACAGAGAAAATTGGACCGAATGAATCCTTAGCAAATTCTGTTCTGTGTAATTATAAAACATGGCTGACTTGTCATTGTCATGTGACTCTGTATCGTTGGTCACGTGCGGAAACGGTCACCAAGCACACAAAAAAGAATCAAATAAAAGATTTAACGCTTCCCAGATTAAATGTATTCGGAAAATTCATTATTTTTAAAGTAACTTAAACTTAGATTTGTGAATTATCTCTACAACTCAAACCCTCTATCGCAGATATACTCACATGAAGAAATTTGAAGAGATAAGGGCGCAACATAAGAGGCAGCAACCTTTTCACTACCATCCTACAAAGTATCCACCTTGGGCAAAAAAGAGGAAATTAGAGGGGGAAGTGGGCTGACAACGTCACTGGGTGAACTGGAAAATCATTCACTAAAAAAACACAGACACTGACACGCAACCGAGACATATGGAGGGAGCTAGTCAGGTGTGCTTAGCGACCCTACAACATCCGGTCATGGGAATGACGATGACGATGATGATGAAGATGATAATAATCAGAAGGAGGAAGGGAAGATGACGAAGAGGTGGAGGATAATTTTCTGGATATGGGGTAGATCATGTATAACAACTTGTGGTTGTTTACATGGAAATTGAATGCAATAAAATTCGATAATCATTTTCTTATATAATAAAATTCACCTAATATAAGGCTGAAGATACATTCAAGGTAGAGGGTTATTGTTAAAATGGTTTCGATGAATGAATTGTGTGATATTAATAAAAGAGCAGGTGGTAGGGAGTGAATATTATGAGGAGAAGGAGGAGGAGAATGTGGATAGATAACAAGTAAACGATAATTTCTAAGAACCCTTCAGCTACATAAGAGTCACTCTATTTCTCGAATCGATTCAATAGCGTATATCCATCTACGGCCAATAGATATTCGATTCGGATGTAAGAAAGAAAAACACAAGCGTTTACCGAGCCAGATCTGAACGGCTCTTTTCGAAAAGATAAAGTTTGAGAAAATAGAAAATATCTATGAAGGGGAAAAATTCCTAAACATAAAAGGCGTCGGTAGTACCAAAGTTATCGAATCAACTGACTCCCCAGCCACACCTACCACATTGCTGTTAGTATAAAATAATAATGAAATTTAAAAGGAAATCTCGCACTTTTCACATTTTCTGCTTTCTTGCTTCTCTGACACTTCCAAAGTCTTGGTTCTAAAATGGTAAGCCTGGGCGCAATGGTGCGCCCTGGAAGATGTCTAGGTGCGCCCTGGCATTCCAGAGAAATATGTCTCCAGATATAAGAAATAAATATATTTACTTTATTATATTTCGTTATTCGTCCCGTTCATAGTTATGCAAATTAGGCTTTTCTGCTCTCTCCACAATTAAGTGCAAAAAGAGAGGAACTCTTCAATGTATTGAGGAGGAAATAAGAGTTTGCCTATCAAATATACACCCAAACATTGAAGAAATCACTAAGACTCATCAGGCTCATGTTTCTCATAAACACAAGAATGAATAAACGTAAGGTTGTTTTTTTTTTTTTTGGGGGGTTACGGCATATCAACCTCAATGGGTTATTTAATGCCGACAAGATTTTTATCGCTGGTAATTTTTTTTTCCTTCAAAAATCTATTTCTGGTAATATTTTTTCTTCAAAAATGTATCGCTTGTAATTTTTTTTTTCAAAAATGTATCGCTTGTAATTTTTTTTTTTTTTCAAAAATGTATTGCTGGCAATAGTTTTTTTAGTCGAAAACTTATTGCTGGTAATGACTTTTTACAAAGTATTTCTGGCATTAAAACCTATTTTTACGCTTTCATAATGGTTTTTACCTCAGTTTGGGGGTTAACTATTTTCCCATAGCTGGGACCCTAACAGGTGCTACTACCCGGGGTCAGGGTGGACCTGGGAACACCAGCAATTAAGAGGTGGTTCCACGCTCTTCAAAACCCCCTGATCAAAGGCCTTGCTGTCGGACGTAGTTTATCGTCTAACCCTGGACATGGATGTAGTTTATCGTCATACCCAGGACGGAAACTTAAGGTATGTTTCATTTTATAGTTTTGCATTGCATTATTTCTTTTCTACAATATTTGACTTCATTATAACATATTTTTCCGAAATTTGTATATAGTGCGCCTACAATTATTGGTAGGATTTCAAGTACGCCCTGACTTCAAAAACTTGGTTTACTGTTCTAAATGTTAAACGCAACCTCAGTCACCATCTTCTATCTTCCTGAAATCTGTTCTTTTATGGTCCATTCAGCTCACTAACATCTTTTCATTTACTTTCACTTTCAGTAAACCCTTATATCTTAGTTGCATTATCGCCTTACTTAGGAGTGAAATGATTTTAAAATATGGCTAACCGTGGAAATGTGTCATTCATTGTTATCTTGTAATGATTTTGATGTCCATTTGGTATTTGATAGTTGTAAAAGAAAGAAAATAATACATAGACTGGAGAAGACATCGGAAAGAAATAAAAAAAATGTAACTTTAAAAGTAACAGGATGCTACATTTGAGGGCGAGCGTGTTTACCTAATGGAATCTTTGATTAAATGTAAAGAAATACGGCTAGAATATTCTATTCGAAGCTCTCGAGTTGGCTTTCAATTTGTCTGGTCAAGTCAAGATCACTCTCTCACTAATCGATATCTGTCCTCCTGTACGGCAGTGAATGCTGGACAATCTCCTCAAAGATGAAGAATAAACGTGAAGCAACAGAAATCCAAAACTTGGCATTCTCTCCTTCATCATCCATCATAATATTCAAACTTTCAATGGCGTTTGTACAATCCTTGGCAAAAATGGGAATTATCACTTTCAGCCGAAAACGTATTGAGATGGCCAAAGATGCATTCTAAAAGCTAAGCAGAGTATTAAGAAACAGAAAAATTTCGTTAGAAACAAAGAAAAGACTACTTGTCTATTACATGATATCTGTCCTCCCGTATGGCAGTGAATGCTGGACAATCTCCTCAAAGACAAAGTAGAGACTTGAAGCAATACAAATGTAGTTCTACAGAAGGATGCTGAGGATACCATGGACAGAACATGTGAGCAACGAAGACGTTTTGAAGAGAACGGAAACAAAATAAACTTATACTTAACATCAGGAATAGACAATTGAGGTTTCTGGGGCACGTAATGAGGAAGGACGGCATGGAAACTCTGATACTCACAGGAGTGACTGATGCAAAGAAGGACAGATGGAAACAGCGCGTAACATACTTGATGAACTTGAGTAAATGAATAGCAGAACAGGTTTGGAAGAAATAACAAAATGATAAAAACTTATTAAGAGCTACAAGGGAGAGGAAGATGTGGCGGGCCATGATCGCCCAAGTCCTGAAGGTATACGGCACATAAAAGAAAAAGAATACGTATACACGAGATGAAGTTTTTTAATAATTTACAAGAGGAACATAACGACGAAAAAACAGAATCTTGATTTGTCAAGTAAAAAATCCAATCTGTTGACCATAAGATCCAGAAACTTTAAAGTAACTGAAATATGAAATAAAAATATAAATAAAAGAATCAAAATCTGTCTTTCTTTCTTTCTTTCTTTCTTTCTTTCTTTCTTTCTTGCACTTTTGTCTATCCGATTCTTTCTTTTTTTATTCCTTTCTTTAATTCTTTCTTTTTTTCTTTCATTCTTACTTTCGTTCTTTCTTTCTTTCTTTCTTTCTTTCTTTTTGTCTATCCGTTTCATCATTTCTTCCCTCCTTTCTTTCTTTCTTTCTTTCTTTCTCTTTGTCTATACGTTTGTTACTTCTTTCTTCTTTCTCTTTTGTTTGTATTTTTTCTTTCTTTCTTTCTTTCTTTCTTTCTTTCTTTTTTGTCTGTATTTTTCTTTCTTTCTTGCTCTTTTGTCTATCATTTTCTTTCTTTCTTTTTCTATATTTTTCTTTCTTTCTTGCTCTTTTATTTATCTTTTTATTTCTTGCTCGTTTGTCTATCTTATTCTTTCTGTCTTTCATTCTTTCTTTCTTCGTTTGTTGTCTACCCTTTTTTTGCTTTTTGTCTATCTTTTTCTTTCTTTCTTTCTTTCTTTCTTTCTCTTTTGTCTATCCTTTTCTTTCTTTCTTACACTTTGTCTATCTTTTTTCTTTCTTTCTTTCTCTTTTTCTATCATTCTCTTTCTTTTTTCTTTCTTTCTTTCTTTCTTTCTTGCTCTTGTGTCTATCTTTTCCTTTCTTTCTTTCGTTCTTTCTTTCTCTTTTGTCTATCTTATTCTTTGTTTCTTTATTTCTTTCTTTCTTTCTTTCTTTCTTTCTTTGTTATCTATCTTTTTCTTTTTTCTTTCGCTTTTGTCTATCCTTTTCTTTATTTTTTTCTTTCTTTCTCTTTTGTATATCTTTTTCTTTTTTTTTCTTATATTTTTCTGTAGCATATTTTAGTGTTTCATTGCGTTGAATTAATTGTAAAGCGTTAAAGGCAGATCGATCGACATTGCAAGCATCAAAAGTCTTTCTTTCAATGTTGCCATTTTTCTTTTGAAATTGTCAGATAGAAAAATACCTCAATGTTATGGATATGTATTCAAATTAGACTAATTTTAAACAATCGTGTGGCAACTCATTTCAAAAATTAGTGGTTTTACCGTCGCACTTGTTCAAACCGTCAGTGCATTTTCGTTACAGAGACTATTCATAGTGACAAATCTATCCAATCAAAAATTATCTTTATTGATTTGAATATTTGTACAGACAGTATTGCCCGAAGCTAGTGATGTGAATTCAAACCTAACCAGATATAAAATTCTTCTAGTCTTCTGGGATACACACTAAACTTTATAAATATATAGCTAATGTTCATTTTTTGCTATGTTTAAATTTTATTTTTGTTGGTTTTTAATTAATTCTTTTTATCTGTTTTTAATTTATTGTTTTTTAATTAATTTTTATCTGTTTTTATTTTATTTTTAATTAATTTCTGTATTGATTTTCTAAATTAATTTGTAACAATTTTTTATTTTTTGTTTTATTGTAATTTTGATTATGTTTTTTTTTTCAGGCCGTTTTTACATAAAGAAGTAACGACGAACAAGATGTGAATTTGCATTTCGTCGGAGGCTTGTTTTCTATTTTTCTAATTTTTATTCTAATTTACATGTTCATTCAGTAAGTATAGATAAGAACAAAGGAAGACGAGGTCATTATTGGGACTTTATTTCCAACGCCATTTTCTTTCTATGGCCAAAATTAAGAGAATACTCAAAGCGATGAAAATAATTGTATGAAAGAATGAATTTGAAAAAATGTCGTAGCTAATCAGCTAAAAAGAAAGAAAGAAAAAGATAGACAAAAGGGAAAGAAAGAAAGAAAGAAAGAAAGAAAAAAAGAAAGAAAAAGATAGACAAAAGGGCCACGAAGAAAGAAAAAAAGAAAGAATGAAAAAAAAGAAAAAGAAAGACAAAGGGCAAGAAAGAAAGAAAGAAAGAAAGAAAGAAAGAAAGAAAGAAAGAAAAAGAAAGACAAAAGGTAAAGAAAGAAAGAAAGATAAAAAGAAAGAAAGAAAAAGATAAACAATAATGAAAAAAAGAAAGAAGGAAAAAAGAAAGACAAAAGGGCAAGAAAGAAAAAAGCAAGAAAGAAAGAAAGAAGACAAAAAACTAAGCAAGAAAGAAAAAGATAAACAAAAAGAAAGAAAGAAAGAAAAAGACAAAAAGAAAGAAAGAAAGAAAAAATAGAAAGACAAAAGAGAAAGAAAGGAAGATATAGTGCAACAAAACAAGAGATAAAAAATAAATTATTCTAAGAGATAGCAAGATTAAGAGAGAGGAAGAGGGGGAGAGAGACAAAAGAACAAGAAAAATTGTACAACGAAGGAAGAAAGTAAAAGAAAGATTAAGAGAGAAAAAGAGAGATATAGAAAGGGCCATAAGACAAGGTTGTATCTTCTCGCCGGATTTACTCAACCTTTACAGTGAGGCAATCCCGAGAAAATTAGAAGTCCTACCAGGATTCATTATTGACAGGCACAATCTTAACATAAGATATTCAGATAACACAGTGTTGATAGCAGACACAAAAAAGAAACTACAAGAACTCCTACAAAAGGTAGTGAAAGAAACTGAGAAGAAACAATAAAACATCAATTGTAAAAAGAACATATAAAAAATATATATATATATATATATATATATATATATATATATATATATATATATATATGTAAAAGAGGGTATAGTTGTCAGCAAAACGATAGCCTTAGATGCAAACAATATATTAGAGACACCAAAAATTAAGCAAATGCAAAAATACATAGTGGGTGTTCTAATGGGGGAGGGTTGACCCCGAAATCCGAAGACGCATTGGGATAGTGAAAGATGCCTTCCAAAAGCTAAGCAAAGTATTAAGAAACAGGAAAATTACGTTAGAAATAAAGAAACTGAACTGAAGTATAATATCAGTCCTCCAAGTTGGATGCTAGACAATCTCCTCACAGATGAAGAAGAGACTTGAAGCAACAGAAATGTGGTTCTACAGAAGGATGCTGAGAATCCCATGAATTGAACATGTGAGTAGCAATTAAGTTTTAGAGAAAATGTACACAAAGAGGACACTTCTACTTAGAATCAGAAAGCGAAGAAATTTCTAGGGTAAATAACAAAGAAAGAAAGCTTGGAGAATGTGACACTCACAAAGCTTATTAAAGGCAAAAAGGAAACACCGAGTAACCTACCTAACGAAGGGGAAGTTGTGGAGAGCCATGCATGCCTACTTCCTGAAGAGACAATGCACATAAAAGGTTAGAGAAAAAGAAGTGCTATGTTTTCTCAAAACCACTGGATGCTATATATCGCTACGTGAAGCCAAAGACTAAATCGGCCGAAAAGTTGACAATAGACTGAAATATACATGATAGAATGAAAACAATTTCAGCAAAGTTGTAAATAATACAAACGCCCAGATGAGAAACCAACTGTGACGCTGTCTTAAAAACAATAAAAAAAAGAATGACACACGTTTGAATTTATCTTAGAACTTCAGAGAACAATACATTAAAGCCCATTGTCGCAAAAATGGTTAATACGAGGTTATAGAAAGGACCCTATTAATATCGAATCTTTATAGGAAGAAATCTTTATAGGAAGAAACCTATTAATATCGAATCTTTATAGGCAGAAGTTTTTATAGGAAGAAATCTTTATAGAAAGAAACCTATTAATATTTAGTCTTTATAGGAAATCTTTATCGGAAGAAACTTATTAATATCGAATCTTTATAGGAAGAAACCTGTCAATATCGAATCTCTGTAGGAAGAAATGTTTATAAGAAGAAACCTATTAATACCGAATCTTTATAGAAAGAAATCTTTATAGGAAGAAACTTATTAATATCGAATCTTTATAGGAAGAAATCTTTATAGGAAGAAACTTATTAACAACGAATCTTTATAAATCTACAATTAAAATTCTTTACAAACCTAAATTTAATACGATTTTTTGTAAATCCTAAATTCATACCGGATTTTTATAAACCTATGATCCTGACAATTTGTAAATTGATAATTAATAACTGATTCGTATAAATCTATATTCACCACCCGATTTTCATTTTTATTTTTATTCTTACAATTAATACCGGATTTTATGGTGTACATTAACGAGTTAAAAGCAACCACTTTTAACCAAGCCTATATATTTTAAATAGCTAAAATAACTAAAGCTGTAAGCATGATTTGTATGGGTATTATTCAAGTATAGACTTTAATGTTCTCTTCCTACATTACTAACAGACACTGTGCACTTTACAATTTAATCACATATATAAGCATCATTGAACTTTTCCATATATATTATACAAGTATAAAACCTTCTTAGAGGTTTCCTATAAGTTCTAATAACTAAATTTTAAAGCAATTTTTTTCTATTTTTCCACATATCAAGAGGAATCAATACTGACTTACCCCTGACAAAAGAACCGTACTGTGTGTTTACAGCGTCAACGAAGACAACATATGGAGAAGAAGATTTCTGAGGTTTGATTTCGGGTGGATGACGAGGTGTCATACTTTGGCAGGCGCTTCTAGCAGCACCCGACGGATAAGCGTAAAGACTGGGGACGCAAAAGACACCACAACTCAGGAAAATAATCAATGGATTCCACATGGTCATAGTCCAAAATAGTACAGTGTTTAGGTGGAGGTCCGAGAAAAAAAGAATCTGCCTTTTTTTTCGCGGGAAATATTTCCAAATGACGAATTTCTGAAATGCGGTTTAGATGAGTATTTTTTTTGTTGTTGTTGTTTTTTTGCAATCAATCGAAATAACGCACTGAGATCCTTTGAAATTCTACTTATGAACACAAGCTGGCGACGATGAAGTATCAACAAAAAACGAACTTGTCGTAGGCGCGAATACTACGCTAGCCACTTCAACCAATATGGCTGAGAAGGTCAACTGTTAATTGACTTTTACTTGGGCAGCTGTCCACAATGACTTAAACGCATTACGTATATCCATACAAGCATAATGACTGTTTTCTCGTACACTCCTCTTTTAGGGTGGCCATAGAATCTCTGTTGCAGACGCCCGCTTAGGCATATTTTTTTCAACACCCACAAACTCCACCTGTTCTTTATACTTCAACCATGCTGAGCCTGATCAATAGTTGAACAAGGTCAGTATGTCCAAAACCTCGGTCACGATGACTTTTGTTTTCGTGCTAGCACAACGAGCTAATGTTTCGTCTACTCAATTTCACCCGTGAGGTTTGGGTTAATCCAAGAGTATGGGGTTTCAGGCACTTCTCAACGGTGTCGGGCATTGAGAATATCACCCTAGGCCCCCTGGTGATTCGATTTTGAAAGTCCACGCGCCCATTACAAACGTACAGAGATGTCACTTAATTTAACAATGTAAGTATATTACTTTAAAAATGCATATTATTTCGTTTCTCTCTTTCTTTCACACACACACACACACACACACACACACACACACACACACACACACACACACACACACACACACACACACACACGCTCTAAGATAATGAACAAAGGCAGCACGCTCAAAGCTTCTAGCACAACCATCGACAGCTCCCAGATAGTTCCGTCTACTCGATTTCACTCGGAAGGCTTGTGTCAACCCGTGGTATGATTTTCAGGCACTTACCAAAGGTACCGCACGCTGGAATCGTCTCACCGAAGACCGATAACTTCCTGCTTGTAAGTGATCCAGTGTATAAAACATCCATGATACTGTGGACACTAATGCGCAATTGTTGAAACATATTTAATACAAATTTTAAAATAACACTGATTTAAAAAAATAAAAGTAAAAAAAAATTAAATAAAACAAAAACCAAAAACTTTAAGATTTAAAAATTCCAAACAAGCAAAACGTTTCCATTTTACCTTTTAGAGTTCTTTTACAGAGTTCGCGGGTGAAATGAGGTGACTAGAGTTTGTCTTCATCACCGACAGCCATACCGAAATACCTTATAAGTCTCACACATTTTAACAGATATTTCCATAGAGGTACTTTTTTTTTGCTCTTGTCTTGATAAATTCACCAGACATAGCAAAATGCATCTGGTGGGTGCTTACAATCTCTTCATGACATCTGTGACCAATGCATCTGGTGGGTGCTTACAATCTCTTCATGACATCTGTGACCAATGCATCTGGTGGGTGCTTACAATCTCTTGATGCCATCTGTGACCAATGCATCTGGTAGGTGCTTACAATCTCTTGATGACATCTGTGACGAATGCATCTATCAAAGACGATTTGTCTGCATTTGGACAACTGTTGAGCTTAACTTCCCTGTATTTATAATGCCATCGGTGTTGCTAGAACGTTCTAGAAATTCTTGAAACTTTTAGAAAGTTCTTGAAAGTATTAGAAAGTTCTAGAAATTTCTTATTCGGCAACTCAGCGCGGAATCTGTCTGGAATCTAATGGAAAGTTGATTAGTTTCAAAACATTGTTGTCCAGTTTCAAGAGAATAATAGTTATTCCCTTTTCTTTCTCAACAGAATCAATTAGGAAATAACACTTAGTGGCCAAAGTCAAAACTTTGATTACACAGCGTAATCCCTATATATAAAATTTTAAACAATTTATATATATATATCACCGTCGTCGTCGGCATCCGTCCGTCTCGAGTGAGACGATGGAGTAACGCCGTGCGCTACGAGCCTGGGCGGGATATATGGAGAACTAGGGCTGCCCGGACATCTAGTTCCCCTCTCTCGTCCTTGCTAGCAGAGTCCAAAGGAGAGGATAAACCAATACAGTTTGGTACCAGCGCGGCTGCAGGAGTTGCTGGAAGGTAGCACAAAGTGCCGTCCTTCTCCTTGACCATTTGCCATCCAAGGCTATAGAACCCAGTCTGTCCTGCTATTTATCCATAGCTGTAAGAAGAAGAAGATTCATACCTTTCCCAAGGGTTATAGCTCTCAATCCAAGCCGCTATCCATTACTCCACCGTACCTCCCATCTCTCTCTCTCTCTCTATATATATATATATATATATATATATATATATGATAGAAATCAAGGAGGATTTGAGATAAATAATTCATCGAGTCTAGAAGAATATATATATATATATATATATATATATATATATATATATTGACCAAGTGCCACTGCTCCATTTGCGGACTATATATATATATATGTGATTTTGTGATTAAAGTAAGGATACGTAAATATGCTTATCCATTAACCTGAAACAAAGAAAATCGTTTTCCTCCTTCCATACTCACTAATGATATATACAGCCCGCTAATGGAGTAGTAGATTTTCACATAAGGGTTTGAAACTGACAGTTCAATACAATGCAGATTCCTATGACCAATGTCTAAGAATCCTTCCTTTATAAATATATCACATTTTGAACAATAGATAGATAGATAGATAGATAGATAGATAGATAGATAGATGATTTTTGTTTCTTTCATCCTCATTGCTGAGGGTTGTGGAACATGCACTAATGCTCTTCACTGTCTCCCGTCCCGTGATCGGACGTGAACTCCGCCGGCGTTCTGCCTATCCAATCTCTGATGTCATCACTCCAGCGTCGACTGGTTCTTCCCTTCGATCTCCTGCTATCGATGCGTCCCCCGAGGATGTGCGTGCAGATGAACAAAGTATTGAAATTTTCGCTTCCTTATTGTATCTATTGCCATCTCTTGTTGGTTTTGTAGCCTGTTCAGCTAATGCGCAGTGTCCGCATGTACGAAAATGTTGCCTCGAAAGACTTCAGTCTGTTAAGAGCAGCGGCTTTCAGTGTCCTGGTTTCGTAGCCATACAGTTTCACCGGCCACACACACAGATATATATATATATATATATATATATATATATATATATATATATATATATATATATATGCACATTTCATTGAAAACGACAGATAGGATGTTTTTTTAGTTTTTTATACAATTTCTCATGCGACCTAATAAATTATATATATAAATTATATAAAAACTGTCCGAATGTTCTTTTTATCCGAGCGCTTTCCTCTGTACATTTAGCCATTTTCAAGGATTATATTTCTTATTTTAACAGTTAAAACATAATTCTTGAAAATGGCTAAATGTATAGCCGAAAGCGCTCGGATAAAAAGAACATTCGGACAGTTTTTATGTAATTTATCATCCGAAAAGAAAAGAAAAAAAATTATTAGATCGCATGAGAAATTGTATAAACAAACTAAATAAAAGCAATTTGTCTGTCGTTTTCAATGAAATGTTTATGAAAGAAGGATTGCTGCCTAAATACACAAAATATATATATATATATATATATATATATATATATATATATATATATATATGAAAGTGGCATTTCTCCGTTTAATTGTAGTTATAAAGCGTGTGGTTGGTGTACTTTTGGCTTCTTATCTCTGCTATGCGTTTAGTTTCAATTCGCCATATCACTTGAAATGACTGCCAACCTTTAAACGTCTTGGTGAATTCGATGCGTGCTAATAACATCCGACGTCATTTTATGTATTTGCCTCGAACACAAGCTGTTGTTCTAATATTACTTTGTCACTATAACATGGAATATTATGCAACGCAAATTAAAATGAATATGACTTTTGTTATCATAAGTACGGAATATCTCATTCGTAAGTAATAATTTGTTTCTAATGAGTCTGATCTAAATATTTTCTCTTTTTAGGATTTTTTATTTAAGAATACGAAATTGCAAAAGTGTTCATTTGAAATTTTTTTATGGAATGGCATTGATTGTAAAATTACTTATGCAATGGTTTCGATCCTAACATTGCTTATTGTAAGGCTTCGATCGTAAAATTGTTTATGGAATGGTTTGGATCGTAAAACTGCTATTGAAATGGCTTTGATCATAAAATAGCTTATGTCATGGATTGCATCGTAAAATTGATTATGGTTTTGACGGTAAAGTTGCTAATGGAAGGTTTTTGACCATAAACTTGATTATGGAATCGTTTTGATAGTAAAATTATTTATGGAATTGCTTTTATTTTAAAATTGCTTATGAAATGGTATTGATTGTAAAAGAGCTTATTTGTTTTGATGTTAAAATTGCTTATGGAAAAATGTATTATCGGAAAAAGCTTATGGAATGGCTTTGATCGTAAAACTGCCCATGGAATGGTTTTGAGCGTAATACTGATTATGCAAGGTCTTTGATCGTAAAATCGTTTATGGAATGGTTTTGATGGTAAAATTGCTTCTGGAATGCTGTTGATCGTAAAATTGCTCATGGAATAGTTTTTATGGTAAAATTGCTTATGGAATGGATTCGATTCTAAAATTGCAATGTCTTTGATCATAAAATTGTTTATTCATCGTAAAATAGCTTATGGAATGGATTCCATTGTAAAATTTCTTATAAAGTCGCTTATTGAATGGTTGTGATCGTCAATTGATTATGGAATAGGTTTGAGCGTAAAGATGCTTATGGAATGATTTTCAACGTAAAATTGCTTATGGCCTTGGAGGTAAAGCTACTTATGAAAACTTATGGTTTTGATGGTAAAATTGCTTATGGAATGGCTTTGATTGTAAAGTTGCTGATGCAATGTTTTTGATTCTAAAATTGCTGATGGAATGGCCTTGATGGTAAAATATCTTATGGAATGAATTTAATCGAAAAATCGTTTATGGTCTTGATGCTAAAGTTTCTTATGAAATGATTTTGATGGTAAAATTGCTGATGGAATGGTTTTGTTCCTAAAATGGAATGGATTTCATCGTAATGCTCCTTATGGAACAGTTTTGATCGTAAAATAACATGCAAGAAGAGATGAAAGCGCAGAGATAAAAATCCATGAATTGTCATGAAGAAAATATAACTAAAATTAACTGAACTTAATATGATGAAAAACGGGAAAATTATATGCAACCGGAAATTTTATTTTACCCAAAGATTTATTTTTATAATATTAGATTTTTTAAGTTGAAAATTATAAAATTAATTCTTTTTCATTCGAATTATTTTCATTAGCCTTCCCCTTATTTACTTTTATTACAATGATTTCTTTCATTCCTTTTTCTTTTTTCATTAGGAGTCTCTTGTCCAAGACATCAACGAAACGGTGACCGAAACCCGAGCGTGTCCCTCACCACTCAGTTTTATAGTTTCAAAAGGGGCCGACATATTTTTCCAGACAGGTGTACCATCCATGATATCAGCAGGTGAACAATTCCTACCTGCTTTCACCATTTTTCCCAGTTATGGGATTGCCATGCTAGACAGCTAGATTGCTAATTCCTCAACTTAAAAATGATAACAGAAATAACATTTTTTTTAGTTTCCTGTTGAGTGTCTCTGTTATTTTAATTAGTTATGTCCAACCGACATTTTGTTGGTTAAACCAGTATAACAATATGAAAAATGCGTGACAATAAGAAAACAATATATAACAGTATGAAAACAATATTCGCCCGTTCATCTGTATAGACATCTATCTACGTTGAATTGGCAGCGTTCTCTTAAGAATTACACTTTGAACTTTCTCTCTTTCTCTCTCTTCCTTTCTCTCTCTTTCTCCCCAAGCTATGGGCTAAATAGCAAAGAAGACTAGTCCCTCTAACTTTAGTTGACAATCAGGTCTAGGAGGAAAACTCTGAATTTAAAACCGGTTGGGCTTGCACCAAGCAGCTCTGCACCTTAAAGTATCCCTATACACAACAGGGGAGTCTACAAGATTAACGACTTCAACCACGATGCATGCCATTTAGTTATTTACGTTGTATTTACAGAGTATATAATAAAAAATTGGTATATCACCAAATATTACAGAGATGAAAACATGCTTGCATTCAATAGCTTTTAGTTAGGTTTGATCTCTTGACCTCTACAAATATAAATTCCCTTCTTAAAGAAAGGTCATGGCTTTCCACAACTCGTTGTTTCTTCTCTTGCCTTCACTATATCTTGTGAGTGTCAGCTTCTCCAAGCCGTCTTTCCTCATTATGCGGCCTAGTAATTTCAGTTGTCTCTTTCTCATCATTTTGATGTTATTGATCTGTAGTAAATATATATGCAAACGATACCACGGTTTATAGGTCTATTTACTTATTTACATTATTTACATTATCATCATCTTCATTGCTATTTTCACAACGTTTCGGCCGTTGTACGCTCTGGCCTTTCTCAGGTGATTGGAATTTCGAATTAGAATATTATGATTATTTACATTATTTACATTATTCGGACTGTTATCCTCATCTTCATTGCCATATTCACAACGTTTCGGCCGTTGTACGCTCTAGCCTTCTTCAGGGGATTGGAATTTCGAATTAGAATATTATGATTATTTACATTATTTACAGTATTCAGACTGTTAACAATGAAGTTGAGGATAACAGTCCGAATAATGTCCTCATTTTTTTTTATATTATGCAACTTTTTGTAAGGTATAAAATTGCATAGTTCACTTTTTTACTTCCACAAAAAACAGTTCAAGAAATGTTTTCTGGGTCTTGTGCAGTAGAGATATATACAAGACTAATGTTTACACAGATGCCAGTGACTATAAGCCTAGTCTGAGTCCATATTAATATATGCAATATTCATATTTTATATCATATTCATATTAAATGTAAACAATTTACAATAAGATTACTTCAAGATATGTAAGTGCCAGTAAAATATATCACGAGTAAAAAATATTCCAGAAGTGTAGCTCCGTGTGAAGCGGGAAGGGGTTCCTAATTTCATTAGCCTAGAGGCCTCAAAAGGTTTTTTAATCCGGCCCTGTGCCTAACACTCTTTTCTAGCCTTGACAGAATTAAAAAATATTGTGGTTAATGAATCATTTTCCACTCTACAATCCTTTACTTACAGTCTAAATGTCACGAACCTATTGCTATTTTTATGGTAAATGTTAAAACTAGCTACATTCTTTAATTTCACCTGTTCAGACTTTCACAGCTAGGACAGTCAGAACACATACACAGCGTCAACTCATCATTTCCTTCGTATTCCATTGGTAAGGAGGAAGTTCTACTTAGCTACTTTCCTAGAATTATTTTATTTCTGGAACAGACTATGTTTCCCCGATCACTACAATCTTAACCTCTTCAAGTCTAGAGTAAACTGTTATCTATCCTGCATATCCTCATAATATGTAGTTCTTACTCCATTTACACCATTACAAACTCCCTATTCAGTCGCACTCTACCTTGAGTGACTCTTGGGACTTGTATTGAATGAACAATATTAAAAAAGATAAAAAGAAGCAACAGTATCCTTTTACCTTACAACTACCACATTGCGTCCTTCTGTAGAGCTACATCTCTGGCACTTCAGGTCTCTTCAGTTTGTGAAGAAATTGTTTACCATTTATTTACTGTCATATAGCGGGATTGATATTACATAATGGTAATTATTTTATCACCTGAGTAATTCTCATATGAGAACCGATCCATAAAAGGAACTTGTTGCCTATTTCGCTACAGTAGAGGCTCTTTCATTTCATGCCATATTTAAGTTTAAAGTTAATTACGAGCGTTACAATTAATGCAAATTGTAATTTTGTTATTGTGACATTTACACGCATTCTTACTGTAAGAAAAAAATGCATTGTCTAAGGGAGATAATCTCGGAATTGTTTATGAATTTCTTTGTTTATTATTTTATATAAATAAATCAACCGGTGATCGGAGTCCAGTTAAGAAAGAATCTTCAATACTGAGATCTAATTTTTTGTTGCAAGATGGGCTAAGACAATTTTAACCACAGTATGGCAGTAAATATTGAATTTGTAAAGGGGAAAAGGCCCAAGGAACATAATAATTTTAGAGAGTTGTTTCCCTTGGATTTTTCGTCTTCAGCGATTTAATAGTTGTTATTCTTTGCCATTCGAAAGTTTTTTCACGCCCAGTTCTGTGTTTTCATCTTTCATTTTGATTCAAATTTATGAAGGTCACCTTGTTAATAGAACTTTTGACGGCTCCAGCTTCATCTGCAGTTTATGGTGGGGTCCACTTAGCTAACCTCGAGGTCCATTCGTTGATCATTCTAGTTTTTTAAATTATTTGCTCAGTTCACCTTTAATTTTTGTTGAAATCACAGATGCCACTTTGCTATCATATCCAATGTTGACTTCGTGTCCCTCTGTCTAAAAAGTGATGTTAAACGCCATTCGTTCGTGAGGTTTGTTGCTTTCTTGTTGCTTAATGTTAATCATTTTTCGTTTGATAATGTCAAAACAAAATGTTAAAATAACATCGTCGATTTTCGGAAATTCATATAAAAAACAAACCCTAATTTCCAATGTCGACTTTAAAAGGCAGACAGACTTTCCTCACTTGGAACATTGCACAACGTATATTTTACCTACACCATTTTCCCCCCTTGCAGCATTGTCGAGAAGCCGGCGAGCTGAGTTTGAATTCTTGTCGAGTTCGTTACGAGGCGTTGTGTGTGGTTTCCGTGGCTCTCAACCTGGTGAACTTTTTGGTGAGCCTGGGAGTATATTTTGTCGGCTGAGTCGGCCACAACGTCAAGAAGCGTCTCTACTGGTACCAGGGCTAGAACTTGTGTTATATTCGGTGGTAACCGATCCATCCATAGCCCTCGGAGGATGGGTTCTGCCATGGTGTTGTTCCCGAGGCGGCTCTTCATCAGGCGGAGGAGCTGGGATGGTGTCCTATCGCCGAGAGACACATTAGAGAATAAGTCTCTGATGAGGTCTTCGTCCGAACGTCCAGTTCGTTTGAGGATGGCTTCTTTGAGGCAGGTGTATGGGAGTTGGTCCGGAGTATTGAGAAGGATGTTTTCCACTTCTTCAACGATTGATGCTGGTAAGGCTTGTACTACGGAGGCGTATTTAGTGTCCTGTCGTGTGACCTTTTGTGCTGAAAATATCGCCTCAAGTTGAATAAACCAACTCCTGGTGTTGATCGAGTTGTATAGCGGTAGTTGTATCAGGGCGGCTGATGTGTTGATTTCTGTTTCGGTGTGTTCCGCCATCTTCTCTGCTAGCCGTTTGCCTGTGTCCATATATCACGTCGGGGTCACCACTTGTTGCAGCGGGCCGAGAGGTGTGAGTGCCAATCGACCGTACAACTAAAATAGGGGACACAAAGGCAAGGAGATGGTAATAGCAAAGAAGGATGACAAACGCAGATGGTCCGTTGTAGACGATGGAAATCGTGTCTTTATTTGCGAACGGTGGATGGTAAGACGACAGAGGTCGTTTGTTCGGGAACGGTGTCCGGACGTTAACGGACACTGGACGTCAGTGGGCACTGGATTGGAGTGAGCTGGCGTCTCAGAGGGAAGGCAGTAGCAAAGAGTGAAGTGAGTGGAGCCTTGAAGAGTGGTGATCGAATGACTTTCGGACGTTAGCCCTGAAAAGGACTGTTTGAACAACTGCTGCTACTGCTGCTGGGTCCCGTCAGCTGCTGGGCTTGGTCGACTTGACTGGGCGCGTCAAAGTCGCGAATCAGGAAGGCTTCCTGCTCCCTGGACGGCTAAAAACCGCTGCGAAGTCTCGGGCATCTAGATATGACGGTTCATACAAGAGAAGCGGTGACGCTAAACAAGTAAATGAATATAATTAATTTCGGGCCGTGTTAATTACAGTCAAAAGTGTGTTCGGTGTTTTTTGACTGTATTTAAATTAATTTCGGTTCGAAATTAAGGGTCTTTTATTTTTGTTTAGTGGCGAAAATTGAGTTTTGTGTGTTTCTGTCAGTTTGAAAGGATGTCGTTGCTATTTTTAGCACACAAGGGTCGTGACCTTTCTCTACCGGCAGGCATATCCGGGGTTGTTTAAGAAAAGGTGGGAGTGGTGTTTGGGCACACTGCGACAAAGTTTTATTGAAGATGCTTCTTTGCCTCCGTTGTGCGTCAAAAAAAAATCAATAATATAGTTGTGTCGGAGTTAGCTCCTCTTTAATTCCCTAATATTCCACTAGGGGTCGCTTTCCCTATATTATAAATACTGGGCGACTTGCATCTTTCTCTTTTTCATCTCTTCATTTCAGCGAACACCACTACAAAAGATACCACTCTCGCAAAAGATACACGTACGTACGAACATTCACCAAAGACCAAACACAAATGTTCACACACACACAAATGTTAACGTCTATGTCCATTGTAAAATTGTGTTGTTTAATACATATAGTTTTTCCACGCCCACATTTTATTCGCCTGCAATTGGCTAATAAATTACTACTACCTTTATATTGGACAATTTAGCCATCGCAGTCGTTTCTTTGAATCCTTTGGTTTTGAGCTTGCTTGCCTGTTCTGTTAGTACGAGTGTAGTGATTGGTTAATTTTTAACCAATCACATATTTTTAATGCAAGATTATTTTTCCCGCGTTTCCGTAGAAGCCTACCCTTTTTTCTTAAAAGGAGCGACTTTTCACAAGTCGCCAGTAAGATCCTGTAACATTCCAGACGTCAATACAATTCCACGATCTTGCTCAACGCACACACACACAGAATTTCGTAATATAAACTTACATATTCGCTCTCTGACTTTTGCCAAGTACAATCAACCAGAACTCTGTTGATTCAAACCATTCTATAACACAACACATAATTAATTGTATTCTTGTGTTATTTATTCTTAACATTCAAACTTTGCTCTAATATTGATTTCTGAACATTTTTCTCTCAAAAGAACTTTCTTCGAACAATCAATTACAAATCAATCTACAGTTAAAGGGGAACAACTTCTTTCCCTTAATTGAAGACAATTTTATTGTATGTTTGCTCTTGTATGTTATTTCAATATATTTTTGTTGATAAACAATTTGGAATTATTTTGTTTACTTGAATCTCGCACGTAGTGGCCATCACATATTTGCTTATATATATAGGTCTTGTTTGTTTGCTTTACATTTTCTGTTGGACTCAACTTGAGTCCGCCATTTTCTTGTACTTGTACCTTCTAGCAGGAAATAAATAGCATGGGTTTCTAATACAACAACACACAAACCACAAGGTCCTCTACAGTTGTAGTAACTTTCAAATTATTGTGAATAGAATTTTTTTTAAAGAAACCACAAACGGCTGCCTGAAAAAGTAAATGCAATAATTTTATTCATTTGCTCAACCTGTGCATTCCTTAAAAGAAGCAGTCACAACTTGGGGGGGGGGGTGCTGACACCTAGTAACAGGACACTGTGTTACTTCATTTGAGGTAAAGAAAATTCGCAACATGAATAGGGTTTGAATTTGTCGTTCAATTACACACACTTGAATACACGCCTGTAGATTATTTTCACCTTCTTTGCTTTTCAAAAAAGTGTTTTATTCAGTTGAACTTTCTTAATAGTGTGACTTTAAATAAAAGATTTGATTTCAGAAAAGACATTCCTATAAAAGTAATTATCATTGCATAGATTATTTTTATACTTTTCATGTTGGACATTATTGCATTTAATTTCTATAGACATTTTCACCTAAACGTTACATTTTCATATTTTTCTGGCTTCAGCTTGTCATTACATGTTGAGAGTTTGCCTGATTTCATCAAAAATTATTTTTATTGATAAATGTTGCATCATCATTTTACATTGCATCGTTGTGTGACTCTTTTTCGAACTAATGAAATTTAATTTTCCCAACATAAGTTTTTACTTTTCATGGGTTTCTTCTCTGTCATTTTTAATCGGTGTCACCCCATGCAAGGCAATAAAGCCACTAACTCATAAGAGGTTACAGGGTGTGAAAGAATTAGGAATAGAAACATTAATAATGAGCAGGAGGAGAAAAGAGTAATCAGGAGGACAGTAGATAGCGATTGATATTGCATTTAAATTTTTGCAGATTAAAGTTGGCTGGAAAGCATGGAACTGGAAGGGAGTTCCACGTGCAAGAAAAGAAACTGTTAGCATAGAATTTACGGTTACATCTAGCCAACACAACTGATGAGATCTCGACACGAGTCTAAGTGCACTTAAATTCAAAACATCTAGGCACAATAGCGAAGAAAAGACATAGGAAGGCAACCTTACAGCAGTAGAAAAGTGATTGAAGCCGAACCTCCAGATCAGGTCTATGTAAGATAGATTCTTGAGTGAAAAATTGTCTCGCACGACACAGTGAACCAACTTTCTTAGCAGCTGACCTAGCGATGGATTCAATATAGTCTTTCTACTTTATGTCAGCTGAGAACATTAGCCTGAGAATGCGCAATGATTCACTTTCCTGGAGTTTAGCATCAGCCATACCGATGGAAGGCAGAGAGGCATCTCTCAGATGATTAATGGAGAGAAGTTTAAGTTTTGGGGGCGTTAAAATTGACAAGCCATTTTTTGTTCCAGTTAACAACGGTCTTAACATCATTTTGTACATCAGCTGCTATTTTGAAAGTGTCGGACTGATCAGCCTTACTATCGAGGCAGGAGTAAATTGTTGTGTCATCAGCGTAGGACCAAAGATAGAGCGACAGCTGCGTTAGTACGAAAGGATTTAGACGAGTGGCCGTTTGGGACAACTTTCATTTCACGATTTGCTAGGAAAGACTGGATCAGTTCAAAAATGTGTCCGGGGACACCGTAGGTTTTCAGTTTGTGGAGAAGACCTGAATGAGAAACCCTGTCAAAGGCTTTTTGAAATGTCCAAAGCTACATCCTGGGCTTCACCGTTTTTATCTAGAGCATGATAGACTCTATCCGCAATTATCCTCAGTACATCAGCAGTTGAGAAACGAAAGCCATATTGTCGCCAGCGTAGATACCAAGTTGAGATCTGATGCCATCGAGAAGATCATTAATAAAAATTGAAAAATGTGTAGAACCAACGATGGAGCCATGGAGGACATCTGCGTTAGTACGAAAGGATCTAGACGAGTGGCCGTTCGGGATTTCACAATTTGATAAGAAAGACTGGATCAGTTAAAAAAAGTGTCCGGAGACACCGTAACTTTTCAGCTTGTGGAGAAGATCTGACTGCCAGACACTGCCAAAGGTGTTCGAGATGTCCAATGTAAAAGCCCGGGCTTCACCGTTTTTATCTAGAGCATGATAAATTCTTCCCACAAATATCGTCAATACATCAGCAGTTGACCTCGAGAAACGAAAGCCATATTGCTTGCCTGAGAAAAGGCCCAACGATGAGAGATGATAAACCAATTCAACATAGATTATGGTCCCTAGGAGTTTCCCCAAAAGAGGGGGAAGACTAATAGGCCGATAGTTGGAAGGGTCGGATGGCTCACCATAGTTCTTAAAAACTTGAACAACAGACGATGACTTCCAGCAAGGCAGGAAAACTGGAGACAGCCAGTCATTTATTATACAGTTTAGAGAGAGCAGATGCCAGTTCAGGAGCACAATTCATAATGACTATTAGAGGTATACCATCGGGTAGACAAGCTTTGTAGGGATCTAGGTTAGAGATTATGGAAGAGGTTATATGCATATCACTCAACAGAGAATCAGTTCTAAGTGGGAAGTTAGGCAGGGATACTCCAGATGAGTCAAGATGAGTTTGAGGAGAATTTACTGGCAAAGCATTCAGCTTTATCAACAGAGGATGATAACACCTAAGATTGATTGAAGAGAGGAGGAATAGAGAGACCTTACACTTATTTAATAGTCTATTGAGAAGAGCCTGCTGCTTGGTTTTGCTAGGAAAGTGAGTAAGGAAGTCCACAATTTAATCAAAGGACTGGGCAATGAAAACATTTAATGTCTGAATACCGGCAACATCAGTGCCTTCTCTATACTGTCAGCAATTATGTCTAATATATTGCAGTCCTGGGAAGAGGGGGAACGATAAAGAAAAAAAGTGATAGCTAACAGTTTAGTAACGAAAGATGGAAGCACATGAAAGAGTAGTCTGTGGCATTGAGTGACAATTCTTTGACCATCAAAGTCCACTTTCCAGCATAAAAGACCGTTTTTCTTTCTTAGCATCAATGCAAAAATATAGAAATCTAAATCATTCCTTCCAGCTCAATGATTGTTACTAGGTTACTTCCCTCCCTTCTTTCAAAAAGGGAAAGAAGTGTGCGGGGGTGGGGGAGTATTTAAATAATCTGTTAATGCCTCATTGTCACCATACATATCTCACAAACCATTGGAATTACTGTATTCAATAGAATGTAACTGTCTGCTAAACCTGATCTAATCCAACTATCTACAAGTAATGCAAATATTTCCTAAGTATAGTCTGACACAAGGCCACAATGATTATGTACCAAATGAGAACTCGTAAAACTAAAAGCTTACTAAACTTGACTGATGCATTTACCATACTCACAGGAAAGTTATGAAGATGTGTGTGTGTGTGTGTATATTGCACACACACACACACGTCTTCATGTGTATTACACACACATGCATACACACACACGTCTTCATGTGTATTACACACACATGCATACACACACACACACGTCTTCATGTGTATTACACACACATGCATACACACACACACACATTGTATCAACCCTTTCAGAAAAAAAATTTTAATATAAAGAAATTTCAAACCTTCATATGTACAAAAACTGGAGTGCCAAAGGGATAGTTTTTCCCTTGTCACCATTAGTATTTTAACTGCCTTCACTCTCTGGCAATGTTTATTGTTTGAAAAAGTGATGATTAGAATTGTTATAAAACCTAAACATATGAAAGTGAACTTATACATTTTCATTGTTCTTGACAACAAAAATAATAAACACTATTTATTATATCGCATTAGTTTTTGGAATGTTCTAAATATAAAATTATTCTTGTAAATAAACAATCTAATTAGTGTTTAAGAAATTTGTGATAAATTCTAAAGAACAAAAAAAATGTATAAATTCACTTTCATATGTTTAAGCTTTATTATAATTCTAATCATCACTTTTTAAACACTGCGGAGGAGTAAAGGTAGTTAAAATAATAGCAGTGTCAAGGGAAAAACTGTCTTTTCTGACACCTCATTTTTTTGCAGTCATGAAGTTTTAAGTTTGACAAAACTTATTGTATAAGTCAATGAATCCAATATGTTTTTAAACACAAAATATATTTTAAGGTTGTAACTTAAACAGGAAGGAACTGTAATATTTCACAGGGACTATTTATTTATTTTTTTTTTTTTAAGCATTTCACCCCAAGCAAGACGGGATGTTACTAACATGCAAGGGGTTACAGAGAGTGTGAGTGAGAGTAAAGAGGCATGATAGAAGAAAGGATGAAGAAAAGGACAGGGAATAGATCAAGGCATCTGGAGATGTCAATCGACATTGCATTTGAATAGCTAGAGATTATAGCTATCAGGGAAGCAAGTAATAGGAAGGGAATTCCACAGACAAGAAGTGCGAGACATGAAGCTATTGGAGTAGAAGAGACAGTTACATTTAAGAGTTTCGTCAGTGAAAAGGTGGACTGAAATACCAGCCTAATAGCACATTGAAATTCATGCAGACTGGGAACTACTGAAAGTAGTTCATCGGAGCAGTTACTGTGTAAGTATTTGTAGAAAAGACAGAAGGAGGCGACAGCAGGTCTGTGAGAGAGTGGCTGTAGACGAGATGCCAGATCAGGGCCAATCACATTGCATATCAGTCTCTGGATTTTGTCAAGGACCTTGAAACGAACAGAGGGGACACCAGACCATATATGGCAGCAGTATTCCACTTGAGAGATATTTATCGTTTGTTACTGAAAGATTTAATGTGAGATGACTTCAACTTGAATCGTTTATAGTCATCTTGCATCCGATTAAACAAATGCGGGGACAGGAGGAGAAAAAAAAAGAAGCCAGAAGTCATGCGTTCATTTCAAAAAATTTATTGCATACTTTATATACATTTTTTTTTTTTTGGTCTTTCCTCCCCTCTTTCTTCTGAGGGGAGGGAAATTTCAATTTTCTTTTTTTTTTTAATTCTTTTATTCTAATTTTATTTTACCACATTTTATTTCATTTTTTTTTTTTTTTTTTTTTAATTTTTACAAACATTGGGATGGAGGGAGAGAGAGGGAAAATATTTTTGACTTATATTCTACAGGATCAGAATTTTGAAATTCTTTCTTTAAACCAATCATTCCCAAAGTGTATGTTACCACTTCTGGGTATCAGCAGCGAGGGTAGGAAACAGATGGTTAGGTGGGTATTTAAAAGCAAGTGAGTGACACAGTGTCACTTTGGCGCAGGGGGATTATGGCAGGTATGGACAAAAAGATTCGTTTAAGTCAAAAGTTTCCACCAACACCAATTTCATTAAA